TTTTTTTTCAACAATTGAAAAAGAGGAAATACTAGTCTATTTCAAGTGTTGTAATTTCCCTTTCAATAAACTTGGAAATTCAAGTGGAAAGAAATTTACAAACTATCATATGTTTGATTTCCATGTCCACTACTGTGGCAGATTCTATGAATATTGATAATCCGATAACCTTTTTAGTTGGTGAAAGGGGGAAAAAAAAAAAGTTAAGGCTAAGAATGTTGTGATGTGCTTGGACCAATTTTGGGAATTCGAAATCTCACCACAAACTTGTTGACAACTAGCTGTTATATTTTAATAGATATTATATTAAGTGGTTCGGACCGTTCGATTTGAATAAATTATTATTTAAAATAATTATTACAACACTTCTTATATTATAATAAAATGTAATGTGATTTACGTAAAATGAGAAGATAATTAAAAAATATGATAATAAGAAAAAATTTTTGTGATACAAATATAAATTTTTTAAAAATAATCGCATATTCAATGACTATTGTCTTGAAAATACTGGATCTTGTAGTCCTCATTGACATGTTCGGCTAGTGAAAATGAACAAAAGATTTTGTTTCCTTCTATCACCCAAGATCAACCGCAGACCATGGCAACTATTCTTTTCTTGGGTATTAAATTCCACAGGACAGATAATTATTTGTATAATTTATTGTACTTGTTAAATAGAAAATTAGACAGATTGTGAAAAGTAGAGCAAATATATTGAGGTCGAAATGGTAACAAGCCTACAACAAAGTCTTGATTATTATTATTATTATTATGACATTTTAGCTAGCGAGACTCCAAAACACACATAGCACATAAATTTGGGTGTGTTTGGATACGAGATTATTTAGAATAATTATTGAAATATTTTTTGTGATATTATGTATGTAAAATAAAAAAATGTTTCTAATGCAAGCAAATAATTTTCTGGCAGATAATTCCTATACAAATACACTTGTGAGAATAAGGATTACCAAACATGCTTACCAGTGTCATTTGTTTAGGTATTCTTAACAAATTGTCGAAAAGAACTTTTAAAAATGTTTTATTATCTAATTTTATTTTTTATTGAGAAATTGCTATTATGATTATCGATTAAGGAGAAAATAGAAATTCCTCTCAATTTTTCAAAGGGTCGATTTTAGAAATCTCCCTTGGGGGTTTATCCTAATATCACTCAACTCCCCTGAAGTTTCAAAAATCTCATATAGCTCCCCTTAAATAACAATTTGTGTTATATAATCATTCCTTATGTGTAAAGGTAATATTAAAAAATACATTGGATGAGAGAGATTATATTATCTTTTCACTTTTACCCTTATGCAATTTGATTTATGAATGATGAAATATGAAAAAAAAATCACAAAGAAGGTGGAATATTATTTAGAATATAAGAAAATGTAAGTGCAATAACTAATAAATTTATTTGCTTCATAACTAGAGAATTTGTTACGTGTAAGGGAAACTTTTGAAACTACTTCAACATTATAAAAAGACAAAAGGTTCAAGAGATTGATTGCAAGAAGAAGGAAATTAAGAGCAAGATTTAACAGCAAAGGGACAAAAAAATTTTGTCGCAAACAGGAAAATTAAAAGGAAAATTCTTGGAGATTGATTGTGGCAAAAACGAACACTAAAAAAAAGAAAAAAGATTTTTGCAGCAAATAGGGAGAAAATATTTAAGTTATTTATTTATTTTTTGTATATTTTAGCTTGTAGGATTTTTTAATCTTTTCCCAACCTTTTGCTACTTAAAAAAAGTAGAGAGTAACTTTTGTCATTTCAATGCTTCTAATTGAAATATCTAATCACATCATATGACAGGAGGAGGTAAGTACAATTTTTAAAACTTCAGGAGCACGGGAGATGTTTCTAAAATTAACCCTTTCTCCAAAGAAAACACCTCAAATTCAAATTTAATTGGTGAAGAAGGAAAACCAAAAACAAAGTGCAGCAGGGGTAAGATAGAGAATTCATGAAGAGCTGGAAGCAGGGCACCGAAAAGTCGATTTTTATCTAAACACGGCGTCGCTGTCCGAAGTATGAAGCCCCTCCCTCCTGACATTTTCAGCTCCAAGCAAAATGGATATGCATCAGACCAAGTATCAACCCATCACTCATTTTCTTGACTTGGTCGTGACTTGTGTTTTCATCAACATAGTACTGCAGGACTCGCAGCATGAAGCCGGTGAAAGTGGCAGGTATTTAGCCAACTTACCATTTTATCCCCGGAATGGAATTTCCTATTGAGTTTTGATATACATACTGCATAAGAATTTTTTTTTATAATTTGTGAAATACATTTTTTCAATTATTTTATTTTATATATATTGTATTACAAAAATATTACAATGAGTGATAAAAAATCAACCTTTTCTAGATAATTTTTATACCAAATAAACTCATTCATATATGGATTTAATCTTTTCTATACTATTAAGGTTGAATGACAAATAACTATGTAAAATTTGAATTTAAAATTTAACTTTTGTATATGTGTCGTGAATCTAACGGTGATAGTATATATAAAATTTATCCTTCATATATTGCACCAAAATTTTCATGTGTTTCAACCAAATTGATTGTTCCCTTTTCCAATCATTTCTATTTCGCTTATAATTTTGAACTCATCCTAAGAGAGAGATGGTAAATAGTTCCACGTCTTAAAATTATATACTTATATGAAGTTTTTTTTTTTTTTTTTTTAAAAACTGAGATGAAGAATGATTCAAAACTTATTAATAGTATTAAGATTGGTAGGAATTGTGGTTGTCTAGTCACTAAACATCACAAGTTCAAATAGGTAGAGGTTCATGTTCACTTCTAAGAATTGCAAAAGAAAGAGATCTTGCATCCCTTTCTCATTAATCTCCCTTGCAACTTTAAGTAGATGGACCTAAAAAAGGGGGAGAGAATACATATAGCAAACATTAAATCCATGAACTAATTAATCATGATTTTTAGCACATGAGGTTTCAAAATTTCTTGAGTAAAAAATCTCAACGGCCATTAAACTATTGATCGAATTATATTTTGACCATCAAACTATTTTTCATCAATAATTGGCCACTAAACAACATGATCAGTAAACACGTAACCATTTAATCGATAATTCCTTTTAATCTGTGAAATTAGCAGTTAATCTATGAAATATGGTCACATAATTGTTGAATAAAATTGCCTCTGCACTTGTCATGTGTACTACTAATTTCACAAATTAAGAGTAATTATCGACTAAATGATCACGTGTTTACTAATTAAGTTATTTAGTGGTCAATTACTGATGAAAAATAATTTGATGATGAAAATATGATCCGATCAATAATTTAATGCCCGCTGAGATTTTTTGCCCAAATTTCTTCCACGTCCAAGATATTGTAAGTGTAAAGGATCATTTTCCCTTACTATTTAGAATCATTATACTTTTGCATGCTCCACCGTCAAGTACTATTTCAAGGCATTCATGGGTTATGTAATGTGGCAACAAAAAGGAGATGTGTGAGCTTAACTAATAATACTCAATTATCACTCATTTATTCTCTTGGGCCCTTCATCTATTGAATCGCACTATTTTTTTGCATACATAAATTTTGAATCAATGCTTGGCTTGCTAATGTGGATTAACACTTAGTTGAATCAATACTTGGCATACATAAATTTCAAGTGTACTATTTATCTTTTTGCTACATAGTCTTCTTTAAATTTTAATTCTTTTTGCTTTTTTTTGGTAACAATTAATTCCTTTTCCTTTTCACTTCCTTATTTCTACTAACTTTCAATCAATTTATTAATTTTCGCCATATATATATATATATATATATATATATTTATTCGTATCAATTGGGTCTTACTAAATATTCTTATCAATCATTTATAGTTTTCTTTTTCTAAAGTCTTTCAACAAATTATGTGTAGTCCCATTAAGCAACGAGTTAAGAACTAGAAATATATAAAATTTATGTTTTGTACAATGGTAATGTAATAACTAGCTTCAACATCAACCGATATCCGATTATTGACCTGCAAATTGCACATTGAACATTGGGTTAGTGGCATAGAAAATTTTGAATTAAAAAATTTTCCTGTCTAACGGTTGACCCGTTCAAGTACTTGTGTAAATGTTGACAATCTGCGGAGTCCTCACAACCCCTAAGTTGAGTGCTAACATTAGCTTACGTAATTGGTCAATGAGATGCATTAAATTCAAGTGGTTTTACTTTCAAAATAACTAATATTTTAATCTTTTTGGAAATGACAAATTAAATGACCAAGAATACCAAACAAACTTCAAAAGTCAGAAAAAAAAAAAAAAGGACACCAAACAACGGAACACAAGTTTCCCAAAAATGGTTCACCTTTACTGCACGGCTCTTTTCCTAAAAAAAAAAAAAAAAAAAAAGTTTTGAAAACAAGTTTAAATCGGAGTTCAACAATTATTTCATCGTATATTCAAGTTTTTACAAAGTAATTGAAATGAAGATTACAAAAAAAGTACCACAATAATTAATCAAAAAAAATTTTCAAATAACCTTCATTTTTTATAAAGTAACGTATAAAAAACATCCTTTTATATCTGTATGGTAGTAGATTAGAATTACACGAGTGTGTTTGGATGGACTATTTATTACTTGCAAAAAATTATTTGTTTTACATTAATTTTTTTTATTTTTATAATTATGAATTATTTTTTTATTTTACATACGTTACCCCACAAAAAAAACGGTATAATAATCATTCTAAAAAATTCTTTTATTACCAGAGAAGTTTGGAAAGGGGAAAAAAAAGGAAAAAAGAAAATCATTGGGAAGAGGGCATTTCGGGTATATAAATGGACAGGGACTCACGTTCTCTTTTAAATTCTATCATGTCCTCTGAATCTTGTCTGCAGATTCATCAAACAAAACGACAAAGCTAAAAAAATGCACACTCCAAAGTGCTACTACCACCCTGTAGCCTCGCCTATTTATCTATAGCCCTGTTTTCGTCATCACCTTTGTTGGCTTCCCCATACTTTTGGTTATAGTATAAACCTCGTAACCTGAGCCCATCTTTCTCTTTCTCCTCAGTCGGTTGCAGTCTCTCTGCAATTTTGCTGTGTCCTGGTACCCTGTAGCACTAGTCATATACTATACGGCCTTTTTTCTGTTTCCTCTGCCAGCAAAAGCCACTTCCCAATTCGACACTTGTCCCAAAACTCAAAAAAGAAAAAAAATATGACTCCTCCAGAGCCATTTTCAATTCACCGGGCCAAAATGTTCAGTCTTAAATCAGAAAGTCTTGTACTTTTGTCTTTTATCTTTGTCACTATCATAAATTGACTAAATAGGGAGTATTTTGCTAAGAGTTTTTTTTTTTTTTTTTAAACTTTTAAACTCGCGAGTCACCATGTAAAATTAATTGTACATACGAGATTAATCATTAATTGTGTAATTATATACAGGTAGCTGCAGCTATCCGAGACTAAGCATGAATTTGTTGGTGAATTATGACATGGGCAACCCTTTATGTTAAATCTTGTACTTTTGCTGGTACCACATTGTTTAAAGAACACTTTCCTTTTAGTGCTTGTGTTTCACCCAAGAAGGGCAGAAGGCCCAAAAGGGTCCTCTTTGGGGTCATGTTCTCGAGTCTTGAGTAAATTAACGGTGTCTGTTTTCACTGTAGTGGTGTGAATTTGGTTGGGTATTGAGCGGGGGAAAGAAGAATAAAAATGGCTTCTTTAAAGCCTGGTATATTACTAAAGCTTTTGCAGAATGTGGATAACAAAGAGGCCAAAGTTGTTGGTGAACACCGCTCTGCTCTTCTTCAGGTGTGCCTACTGAAAACCATCATATGCTTGTTTTATTGCATAATAATTGCATTTGAAGATTTTGAGGACTGATCTTTAATGGGATTTTACAAATTTATTTATGGGTAGTTTTAAAAATGAGGGATAAATTAACCTTTTGTTAATGATTTTGAGTGATAGTTTTATCGTGTCGGTGATAGGAAACATACATTCATGTCTTGTGATACTTTTGTTTGCATTTCAGGACTCTCAGGAATAGTTTTTAATGGGATTTCGTTATTTATTAGGCAAGCTTTTTCTTTTCTGTAAATTTCAGATATGTTGTATTTTTCTTTCCTTTTTTTTGGATAATCCGGGGACCTTTTTTTTTTTTTTTGGATAAAATAGGGATGATTATATCAAGTATAGGTCGTTGTAAGTTTGTACCTTCACATCACATTCTACTCTGATGGGCTTTTGTTATTTCTTTGTGATAATTTTATAAATGTGTGTACTTTTTTCTTCTTTTTTCTTAATATTTTGACGATTTGGGTGATGACATTTTGTTTACGTATGTTTATTTACTTTGTGGGTAAATTTTTGTTTTAAATTTTTGGGTGGTTTTTGATTTTTATCATATTTTGGTTGATGATTTGGGTGCCGATATCTTTTTAGGTGATTGGAATAGTACCTTCATTGGATGATGATCCATGGAAGAGTAGGGGGTTTTATTTAAGAGTATCGGATTCAGTGCACTCAGCCTATTTATCTGTCTTAGATGAAGATGTAGAGTTGATATTGAGTGACAAGATTCAACTGGGTCAATTCATCCATGTGACCAGACTTGACCCTGGCTCCCCTGTTCCAGTGCTCTGCGGCTTAAAACCGGTGCCAAAAAGGCGTCCTTGCATAGGGGAGCCAAAGGATTTGATTTCGAGCGATGTTTTGACAGTTAGGAAAAATGTGGACTCAAAAAGGGTGAAAAAGAAGGTGGGGCTTGATAAGAAATCCTTGGTAAAGGAGAATCTAAAGGGGAAACTGAATGGAGTTTTGGATAACGAAGGTTTGAAATCAAGAAGGCTTTCATTGAGCTATGGGAATGTTGGTGGGCTGGAGGTTAGAAGGTTGAGCTTGGATTCGATGAGGAAAGGATGGGATCGGAGCCCTGGGGGTAATGGTAGTGTTGTATCAGTATCAAAGTCAAAGTTCAAAGAGGGTTCTTTGGGTTTGGATTCTTCAAGGAGCCCTGCAGGTAATAATGGTGTTGCACCGGTGTCAAAGCTGAAACCCAAAAACGTTTCTTTGGTTTCAGATTCTGTAAATAGCACCGCATGTAATAGGGGCGTTACATCAGTTTCAAAGTCAAAATCCAAAGATGGCTCGGAATCTGTGAGTTATACCTCTAAATGAGGATTACTTATATATTATACTAGTGGTTATATGCTATTACTGTTGTCTTGTGTCTGTTCTACTTTGCTGCTTCTGTTGTGTCTCCCCTCCTACTGCCTCGTCCCTTAACATGTGTAATAGGAGTTTATGAATCCAGAAGGTCTTTGTTCTACAAAATTATTGTCAAAATGAAGTTTATACCCTTTTGAAATAGAAAGACAAGCAATTTTGCAAATGTTGAGGACCCTATTGATTTGCCATTATTTGATACTCTGGTAATTGAGTTGGGAGGTCATTGGTTGGATAATTCCCTGCTTTTACGCTAATGTAGGTTGTTCTATCCCTTCTCTGTTCTAATAGTTGTTGGTTCCTTGGATGGAGTTTGACTGTGTAAACAATGTGGGCATGTATAGAGTAGGAGATGCATGGCAGAGTATAGCTATTTCCCATAGTATCTATAATTGGCAGTTAATCTTCACAAAATACTTGTATTAAATTTCTACCTCTGTTGCGGTTGAACTTATCATGTCCATTAGAAATAGTATTATGCTATAAACTACAAATGATAGGCTGGAGGCTATGAAGACCGCTACCTAGAGGAGAAACATCTATGCAAAGTCTAAGATGATCCATCTTTTTTCATCCATAATCTGCCATTAATAGATAAAATGGTAAAACCTCTTTTTCTCTGGACGGTAATGCTATTGATCTTATACACTCGGGCCAAATCTTTCTGAATGACTCTTGTACTTTAGTAGGAGCAGAGTATTAGTGGTATTGTTGCTTCAGATGAGATATGGCAAAGTTAACGGTTGAATTCCAATATTCCTAAGGAGTGGTGAGCAACATAAAATTTATTCCCGTCAGGAGGAAAAGTATATATGCATGTCCTCTTTGATTTTGGGTTACACCCAATCACGAGTATACTGGGTGACTCACTATTGTACACCTATTGGATATCCATCCTTAAAGGACAAGTGACAGATTCAGTTTCCCTGCGAAAATATGCAGACCTCGCATGTAGTTGTTTATTCTGTTACTGGTTTTAATTTGTAGTTCTGCAAGAGAGAGGCAAAGCAAAGTTTTAGTTACTATCAGGAACCAAGCTCTAAATAAAGTAATGGTGAACAAATGCTACATGTTTAACCACTGTGCCTGAGATTGTTAATTTTTTAATTTTCCTAAATCTTTATTGTCCCATGGTAGGTTCTTCCTGGCAAGAAAAGTTCTGATGAGGATTCCACATCAAAAAATTCAAGCATTTCACCTCTTAAATCCAAAAATGGGATAGCGTCGCCAAAACTTATAACCAAACCTACTAGGAAAGATCTGAGGTCTTCAAACAATGAAACTCTACCAGCTCAACTTAAGAAGGTGTATCTCAGTTTTGGAAATTGGTCTGACTCAAAGATCTCAAGCAAGTCAGTTCCTCCGACCATCCATAATCTTGGAAAGGTATGCATATTGACAAACATATAGGCTTTGAACTGTAGACCACGAAAGCTTGTTGTACTCATTGCATTCATGATGTATTCAGGAGGTAAAAACTTATAGGAACAGTTCCTTCCTGTCTGCTGCACATGCCATGGAAGATGCAGCTGCTGCAGATGGTGTCATTCGCTGCATGAGGTACTAATATTTGTTATAGCTGTTTCTCTAACTGTAGCTGCGGATGGTGTCATTCACTGCATGAGGTACTATTTGTTATAGCTGTTTCTATGACTGTTGTGCAATGCATCTGGTAGTGTTATTATTTGCTATTACTAGAAATTTGACCTTCTAATTTGCAAATGCCTGATTAATGCATGAGTGTCTATTTTATATCATGTTCATATGTCGGCACAAAATTATCTCTCTCGTTCACTGAAGAAAAAGAGAAAAGGCACATAAGTTCTCACTTGCAACTGAAAAGGAACTTTGTCTTGCAGATGCAAGAGTATTTGGTCTTCTTCCATGCTTATGATTCCTTCGTTGTCTTGTATTACTTCCTCCATGTTAGATTGAAGTCCATGTTAAACTTGGCACAATTTTTAACTAAGGATTGGAGTTTCTTGCTTCAATCCTAACTAAGCATTCACGTCCTCAAGCTGCTTTGCAAATTTCTTCTTGTATGAATATTAGTTGGTCCAATGTGGACATCCATTCAGTTGAAAGCACTGTATAAATTGTAACTAATTTTTCAAATCACCGGTTATTTAGATTGAATTGAAATTCCATTGTAGTAGGCTGCACCAAAGTGTGAAGAACTGGCTTAATATTGGGATGTGTCAACAAATCCAAATAGATCATCAGTCTTTCATAAAAACCATATGTTGCTGTGTGGAATGAGTAGGATATAAAAGGTGGCTTTGATTTTCTTCATCCTATGATTTGGTGAAGTGTTTCGTGCAAAACAAGAAACCTTTGCTTCAAGTAGCTGGAATTCCTGGGTTATCCTGTTCATCATTTCAGCTAATTGAAATGTTCTCAAGTTGAGCTCAGCATATATGTTCTTCTCAAATTTAGCTTCATAATAGTTTTCTTAGGACTCTTAAGAGCTTTTTGATACCTTTTAATGTGATTGATGCAAGATATCTTTTCTCTCGATTTTTGCTAAGTGTAATTTTGTCTAGTGAAGATCATTTTCCATGTTTCCTTTTTTTGGCAGCATGTTTGCAGAACTGTGCGAGTCATCTGAAAAAGATTCTGCTGGACAATTGGTGGAGCAGTTTTTGAACCTTCAGGGGAATATGCAGAATGCAGCAGCCATGATTGAGGCATTGGTTGAAACCAGGACTCTTGAGGCAAAAAGAGGCAATTCTTGCAGCAGTCAGCCCCCATCACCAGAAATGTGCTCTAAATTTGCAAGCAAGAATGCCTTATCATGGGTACAAGCTGCAGTTGAGACTGATCTTGCAAAATTCTCTTTGCTCAGAAAGGACGAAAAGAAAGGCATTCAGAGTGGTCAGAATTGCTTCTATGTGATGTTAGAAAATGCTCCGAAGAAAATTGAAGCTGAGAACTCCCCATCAAAAAATAAGAGAAGCCCTAGAAACCATGATAAAGTTGTATCAGATTCCAATGCAAAAAATCCGCCTCGAAGTTCAAGGCAGCTTCCATCAGTGACAAAACGGGCAACTGTTGAAACTGAAGAGTGGTGCAAGGGAAATGGGTTGAAGGATGCTGCAAGTTTAGCAGAAAAGTTGCTCTTAGTATCTCGTGGATGGTTCCTAAATTATTTGGAAAATTTCTTAGACAAGGACTGTGGACTCATGAATGGCGAGGCAGATTCTAAAACAGCAAGTCTCCTTGGACAGCTTAAGAGGGTTAATCAGTGGTTGGATGATTCATTTCCGCAAGGTCATGGAGTTGATGAGAGGATAGATGGCTTAAAAAAGAAGCTGTATGGGTTTCTGTTGGATCATGTTGATTCAGCAATCCTCTCAAAGAGGTAGGTTACAGTGGAAACAATTGACTTTTTTCTAACTCAACTGATTCAACTTGCTTTCACTAACAATCTGCTATAAAAGGGTGTTCTTGTTTTGCTTGCAAAAAATTTGTCATGGATGCAAATGCAATGCATTCAAAAGCTTCTAAAAGCGTCAAAGTCCATTGATTGAATATGGAAGGGTATACTTCATTATTGAGATGTACAGGTGAACTTGACAGCTTGTTTTTTCGTTAAGATTGGAAATGTATGTGAATTCTTCTGCTATGTTATGATTATTGGTTGATTATTAGGTCTCGCACAGGAATGTTGGGGAGGGAAAGGGGCCTAGGATGGAGGTGGTGGGGTTTAGTAATAATGATTTTCTCCTCTTGACAAATCTGAAGTGATAATGCCAGAAGTGAGTTTACCAAACTCGCGATGTGAATTTATGAACTATATTTGAAATCTGCAAAATCTTGTATAGTTGCTAAATACTGGAAACAGTACTGATATGAACCTCTCATATGGATAGAGATGTAGAATTTTTGACAGGAGTAATCTGAACTTGTCATGACATTGACAGTTCACAGCTGTATTTTATTCATGTCAGTCTGGAATTGCAACAATTTGTTTATAGCACCAAAATCTCAAAAAAAAGTCTTCTCACCATCATTATAGGTTAAAGAGTTCTAATGCTTTTGGCTGAGTTCCTTTCATAATTTGCCAACCAATTAGCACGGCTCCAAATTGCTTCATTACATCAAAAGCTAAAACATTAGTACCCTATTGCTCAGAAAACCTCTCCTTTGAACTAATATGATGTTTTGCAACAGAGTTCATGGAATTCTAACAATATTGCCAGTTCTTTGTGACTTGTAATACGGGCACACCCCTGGGTGTCCTTGGCAGTAGTTAAATTCGTAAATCTGCAATTGAAAATTTTGTTCCTAATCTGTGGCTTGTTTGTAAACAAATACTCTTTATCATTTTGTACAAAGGGTAGTTGATTGGGTACCCTATTCGTATATAGACCGTTGGACCTGCATATTGTACTAATTGATATGAAGAAGAACACCTCATACAGGTTCAGTCTTAACTTATATGTACTTTGATTGGCAGTCAGCCTCCATTTATGTAACGAACTGGAATGTAAATGCTCATGTAGTTTGTGTTTCATAAACATCTGCCTGCGCTCTGCTCATTTGCATTTACATGCAAAGCTTTCAAGAGATGAGTGCTAAAATTTCCGATCAAAATGAACCAGATTCTTGAAGAATTGAAGATTATCTACTCTTAAAAGTCTTGTATCAGTGAGTCAAATAATAGCCCGAGACCAAATTCTCCTGAGGGGATTCTGCTGGCTTATCAGCAGCAGCAGTAGAAATTGCAGGGCCACTATATTTCGCCCAGGCCTTCATCCCCTTGCAGGATTTCATATGTGCATGCAGTTTCTCTGGCTTAAATGGCTTCCCGCATTGCCTGCAAAATTAAATCGATCAATACAAGGCTTGCTCATGGTCCAGGCTATCCAAATTGTGGAAATTAGACCATGTGAAACGAACTGTCCAAGGAGAATTTGTCAGTTTCAACCATTGATCTTTTGGCTGCAAATTCTGGTTCGTGGGTTCTTAAATTGAAGAATTGAACAAGTAAATAAACTACACAAAATGATTAATGTATTTTGATTAACTGACTTGAGCATGTTATATACTACTTCTAAAGTCGACAAGTTAAAAGGTCAAATTTCAGGGGCCTTGCAATTGATCTTCGAGGCAATTACCAATGTAACTAAATGATGTCGACCTGAGTTGAATAAGCTTTAGGATGTCCATTTTAAATTATGCAATGTCAACTCTGTATCAGGTGTTCGGCATGCATGATGCAGTAATGTATGCTGATCATATAACTTCTTCTTAATACTGTCATATTTAGACATGTAGAAGAGTAATTTATGCAGTCAAGGATAATACTAGTTTAACTGTACAAGTCAACTATACAGTATTGGCAAACCATATGTGAAGGATCTGCAGTTTGTCCAATTAATTTTTCTGCACCTAGTCATTTAGTTTATATTCCTCATAAAGTGTAGAATAATGCTTAATTTGGCTCTTTCTCAGTCATTAAAGAAAAAGGAAGTGCCCTTTAAGCAGGCCAAACTACTGACTAATTCCAAATTCTGCATTAGAAAATAAGTCATTTTAAGTTGATTAGACCAAGTAACAGAGAGTAAGATTAAGTAGGTTTAGTAGAATTTTCCCTTGCATTAATCACATGGTAATCTCTTCAGATTCCTACGCAAAAGTGCAGAGATAAAATGAACATTCATTGACAAAAACTTGAGGAAATAAAATGCTTTAGTTACATAAACTTACGAGCAGGGCGGTCCATAAATAGGCTTGTGCGCAGCATTTGTCTTCTGGTTATTGAATTCGCTATTATTCTTCTGTGAAGCCCTCACCCCATCAAAGCTTTTCCTGTACCAAAATGTACTCAAGATTTCATGCACCAAAACCATCTAATCTTCAGCATCAATTTTATTTCAGAATTTATACCAATTGCTTATATCTTCGTAGACAACTTAATTCTTATGCTTTGCATATGTTAAGTTAATTTATCGTTTCTCACCAGGTAGGAGGACAAAGAAAAAAGAAGAAGAAAGGATTGAAGTCAATCAGATTACCTTCCACTGCTTTGTCTTTGTTGATTCCAATTAGTCCCAAAGATCCTTTGAGACCCTCCCAACTTGTCCCCTATCTGTAGTAGCTCCTTGGTACCGTTAGAAACATGATTCTGCTTATCCAAAGATGACAAATTTGCATTTGCGGGTGGTTTATTGCGACGACTGATTGTAAGCATGACTGAATCATTTGTCTCCACAGCTCCACAAGTGATCAAATTTCGGAACAGATGAGATGCATTTGAATAACTCCTGCTCTTAGAAAATGAAGGTTGTGCTGTTGATGAGGTTGATGCTGATGAAGATGGTGCTGCACTTATTTTTTCTTCAGACATAACGTTGTTGGCCTTCTTGTTCCTTTTACTGGAAAGAGGTGAATAGTATGAAGAACCCTCACTTTTGTCACTTTCTTCATGCATTTCTTCTTTGGGAGTCTGGAAACTAGAATTCTTTTCTTGATCCTGATCTCGATCTTTGGTCTTCATCGAATCATCAGTCAATGTCGATGACTGTTCAGAGCCAAAAGTTGGTGATTCTTCCTCAATTTCTGGAGAAGAGATTTTTGTAGGTTGGTCCATTTTTGTTTCTTGATGATGATGATGATCATCATCTGGATTTTCTTCAGTGGAGGAGGGTATACGATCACTGTCTTCTTCCTCTTTGTGCATTGAATATCTCTTTTCGCTAGGTGAATCCTCTGTGAAAAAATTCAGCAAGGAAAGTAGTTGATCATAAAAGGTACAATATCCTTGGCATACCATAGTTGGAAAAAGTCCACCACTCAAGTAATGTCATGATTCTCTCCTAAGGTGGATTCTCTTTATGTTGATTCACCTTTCTAGGAAAAATGAATCTGAAATAGTGGTTGACCATACAGGAGTGAAAATTATTGGAAAGTACATTTTTATTCAATAAACATAAATGGATTTCCTTCCCAACTTTTTTTTTAATATATATAAATTATCAACTATACTATATTGAATTGATAGACAAATTATGTTGACTTTAAAGATGCACAGCTCAAAGTTGTATAAATAATGGTTGTTTTTGGCGTTAAACAAAGAAAAACAACATTTTGGACGGAACTTAAATTGATTGAAAATCTGACCAGATTCATATGTTGTTTTTACTAATTCAACCTAGAATAGGTCTAATTCAAGAGATTTACCTATTGTGGTTGTGGAAGAAATTTCCGAGCCTTTGAGGACATATTCGTTATCTGAGATAGGGGTAATGAGATCCTCATCCAGCAGGTCTTGCCATACATAACCACTTTTGTATCTCCTGCACGCAAGAATCTTTTAAAACTTTGAATATACCAACCACATAAAAAATATATATATATATATATATATATATATAAGACTACCACCATTTTTTCTTTTTTTTTTTTGGCCAAATAAAATTACTATATCATCAACAATTGCAGCAATTTTCAATCCCATTTGACCTTTAACTAAACTATGGCTCCCATATTATTGGCGGCAGTGAAGAAATTATCAAATTGATGAACACGTATCTTTTCACAAACCTCTTGTATGACCAAGAAAATGATTCAGGCATGTCCTTTCCTCGCAATTCTCCCAACCATCTCTTGACATCTATTATAACATGAGCAAAACCGAAAAGAAAAAAAAAAAAGTTTTATTTGAGCCCAAAACCGAAAAAGAAAACCAATGGAAGCAACTGCACAAAAACTCTCAAATAGAGGATACATACATATAGCCACAAAATATACACAAATCTATGTATCGTGCTTTGTATGCCTGTTGATGTTTCTGTTTGTTGGTTGAAGAAAGAAAAAGTGTGGGGAACATTTGATGATGATGCCTTGAAGAAAATGAACTTACCTCGCAAATGTACACCATTTCTTGAGAGGTGATGAACTCGAATGAGATGAGGCTGCTCAATCCTGCCTTTTCGACTAAGGAAGTAAATGACATGAATTCTTCTAACTTCTGCACCAACTTGATTACTCTCCATTAATCTTCTGTGAACGTGCCAGGAGCATAAGCAAGAAACAGAGAAAAATAAATGGGTTCTTCTTTTTAGGCGAATTTAAGGAAACTTTTATTCAAAAATAAAGTTAAAAAAAGCACTTATATGAATATGAATCAACAAATGGAACCCCAAGACATGATCTTTGTCTTTGCGGGCCTGCATGCTCCAGAAAAAGACATGAAGAATAAACATATGTAGCTAATTCATCGTGCCTAACCAAAGTCTTAATAAAATAATCCAAGGTATAACAATCTCTATGAATGTGTGTGTGCAGGCCTAAAGTATGGCACCATATTTTTTTTTCTAGAAAGGCATAGAAACTGATAAAATTCTCTTAGTAATCTAATGAAAATGATCATTGGATTTGAAGATTACCTTATTGTTTTGTTTTATCTGTCATAAACACACAATAAGAGTGTGAGAAAAGTGTTGCTTGATGCTTAATAGTAGGACAGCATTGAACAATTCTATAGCTACCATTATAGAGAGGACTTGGCCCCCTTTTAAGAATTTATTTCTGATTTCCCGCGATATTCTTGGCGCATATGGTTAAAGGAAGCTATGCAGCTTTTGACCATCTTTTTAATCTCCCGAAAGAAACTTTCTTTTGCATGATTTTACAATGATTT